ACGGTAGACCGGACAGTGAGTGACTGTGATGTGTGTGTATTTGTAGTGTGGCTTGATTGGTGACAGCAGGTGCGGGTGATCAGAACTCAGGTGACTGTGATCGGGTGATTATCCGGGCTGGTGACTGCAGTGACTGTGATGAATCCCTGACAATATGAAGGGCTGTGTGCAGCATCGTTTAATCTGAGAGGCTGAAATGAGTTGAGAAATTAACCCTGGTTGAGTGACTGTGACATATAAACCTCATCGCTGGTGGGGGCAAATCTACTAACAATCCGCTGCTACAGTATCTGACATTAAAATGAGCCAGTATAGAGAGAGAGGGGGTCCTGAGCCCCAGAGAGCCAAAGGATAAACTTATACAATAAAAAACAGAGCCTGTCGTCCACTAATCAATTCTCTGCAGGCAGTCGGAGCGAGCGACGAGATACAAATGTGATTTATCAGATGCCGGCACTTTGCCACCAGCTCGAGTTATTAGAGCACAGACAGACCTTTTAATATATGACAGAATAAGCGCTGGATGAGGACTCATTTAATGCATTCACAATAAATGTGTCAATCAATATGTCAGGTAAGCATAAGCCCCGCCCACTCTAACGCTCTCTATACTGGAAAACAATTAGCAGTGTGCTATTTAAATCTATATGGCAATGATTCACATGAGACAGAAGCAGAGAAACAGTATGAATAGAAAAATGGCGTCTTAATTAAAACATAAAGATGAGCAGAAGCTCCAGAGAGCTGCGACACAAAAGGGTGAAAGAGCCTGCGGTGGAATTCAAAACGCGTGATGGCTAATCTCTGTCTTTTACTCTTTCTCTGTTTCTTTTTCTTTCTCTTATTCATACGCACACTTAGTCTCTATCTCCACACACACACACACACACACACACACTTGTGTTTAATGCTTATTTGGACTGTTTTAATGTTCAACTGACATCCTAAGTTAGCATCAACACACTCTCGCTTCTGTCAAATTGATAGCTAATTCATTGAATTTGTACAATCTCATTAGCACATTTTCATACAATCCACTTATGCCCCAGTGACGGTTAGGTTTAGGTGTGGGGTTAGGGGTGGAACTTCATGCTTACATTTCTGAATGAATCATATACAAATTCATAACAAAAAAAAAAAAAAACACTTCATAAAATTGTTACATTTTCTCATAAGATCAGGTTGGTTAGCGTACATGCATTTGCAGTGTGTGAGAATTTGTTGCAACACATTGTGTATTGAGATTTCAAACACTTAAATGAAATAGAACCATAACTGCTTAAGTTTTTTCTATGTTACATATTTTTAAAGCACATTAAATGCTGATTAAAACACTAGATTTCAACTTTACAGTGTGCTGTACACATACATAATCGTGAATTCAGTGGGGACGTTAATGTACTGCAGGACAGTATTGGACATATTTCAGGCTTCTGCCTGTAAACAACAACACTAGTCAATATTATAGTTCCAGCCTCCACTACAGCCTCTTTTCAATTATTCTTGATCATAAAACAGGGGTTTATATGCTGAGAACAGTCTTGATCTGGGATGCCTCATGAATTCCAGCTCTAAAAATATCAAATATGCACGCTATTGCTGTTTCTCAAATAGTATCCTGATTGCATGCTCCCTGTGAGAGTGTTTTACTGTATAAGGTTCAGAGTGAGTTCAGAAGGAGCTGCATTATCTGTGCAGAAATTAGAGATGAGGGGATTGTTTTCCTTTATTTTCTTCTCCCTAAAAATAAGTCAAAAAGTGAAAACAAATGAAAAGAAAAGAGGAAAGAACTACATATATGCTGTTTCGCCCCTCTCATTGAGCTTTTTATCAAAGCAACGGCACCTAAAACACAATGCAGAGCTGCGATTCAGCAGCACATGAGGAAGACTATTCAAGAGATGAATGCAGAACAATACTGGAGAGCGCAGAACATCTCCAACATGCTCATAAATAATCCACCATAACAAAAGACACTAAAATCCAAGGTTCTCAGCAACATAAGAGCTGCGAACAAAAGCTGGTGGAAATTGAGCACATGCAATGAATAATTCCAACATTACCTTTACAATTCATGATGATGATGCATTTGTGGGCTTTAAGACCCTTACGGAACATTATTTCATTGCCAAAAGAAGAAAAAAAAGCTGCTTGTTTGATCTGTGTCTAATAGTCTGCAAAGATACAAAAAAACTGGTTATTTAAGACAAGAAATATGTGTGAAACACTCTAGAGTGAGAGAAAAACAAAGTGAGTGAGAAAGAAAGAGGGATGAAGTAAAGAAATCTTTACTTTCACAACCCCAATGGACATGATGTGTGAAGCTCTTTTTATAAGAGCGGTGCATCAAATTCTCCAGATGTCCAATTACATCTGCCGTTGTTCTGCTCTTTAACTCAACAACTGACCATCTTCACACTCTCTGTTGCGCTCGGACTCCTGGAGATTCTTTCTTTCTGCCTTTCACTGAATTCTGCACTGGCTTCTTTAGATGATGAAGACAGATCTGATAGGTGATACATTTTATATAATTATGATTCTACAGCAGCTTTATGTTTCTCAGAGGACTCTAAACAGCATTGACGGGACATGCGGAGTCAAAATAGGAGTGCTTGTAATGTGTGTGATGGTTAAAAAGGAAAAGCACCATGTTTTAAAAGAGAAATCTTCTGAATCATGGTCTGAATCTGGATAAGACGCCTCAAACAGAATGGGAAATTTTCAGGGCCTGATTGAAGTCTTGCATCTTAAATGGACGTGCAGTACTTCAATGGTCATGAAATGAACAACACAAGATGTCAGAAAAGTGATTCACTGATATAATTGGACTAAATTAGTCCAATTTGATTTATTATTAACACATCTGATATTTACACTGCTGCTATATGAATAAATCTGAAGTTCTGTCATCTTCAAAACAGCAAGATGAAATTTTACTGGGACCGTAAACAATGTGAAACTACAGAGCAGCTCACATGCTCATGTATACTCCAGTAAATGTGTTTTACCTGATGGCAGATCTCGTGCACCACCACCATGGTGAGCTCCATCTGATAGGAGAAGGAAGAGACGTCAGGATCCAACAAGATCTTCTGCTCCACAAACACACTCAGGCCCCAGTTCTCCATGGCTGCATACGGATGCTTTGGCACTGCCAGGAGATCTGCACACAGTGAGGAAGATTCAAGCTCAATGACGGGAAACCAGGATTGTGATACAATCCAACAAGAAGTAAGTGTAAACAAATACAACAAACAGCAGCTGGATCAAACCAAACATTTTCCAAGACACCACTGCATATGAATCATCTTGCTCGTCTGTAAATTATGTTTTAAACAGACAAATGTTCTTCTGTACTACATAACTGTGAATCATAGAACAAAAGATCTAATCCCAGATATCAATGTGGATTAGCCCTGAATCAAACCTATTTATCATCTAATTGCTATAATCAAATATCATTGCATTTTAAACCAAAAACCAGACACAGCAAAGCAACAAGACACGCAGCTCCATAATCATATTTCCCTCCAAACATATTTAAAATGGCTCCTTTACTCAAGTCTGTGTATCAGTGGCACAGCAGACAGCGAATCAGCTGTTTTAAATGCCTCCAACTCCATGAGCCCATCTCAGGAACCATTCATATGCCAATGAGAACAGAAGCAGTTAAACCTCTGGTGCTGTTAAATCCACATCTTATAATCAGCCACAGAATAGGAACTGTTGGAAACTGTAACATGATTATCTGGCGGGCTGGTATATATGTGTGTGTGTGTGTGTGTGTGTGTGTGTGTGTACACATACACATACAGAAGAAGGCAACTAAATAAATAAATGTGCAACTCAAAATGCTAGATCATAGATAATAGAGTCATGCAGTTTTGCATATTGTACATAATTTTGTTTTACTCATTTGTTTAGAATTTGTTAAACTATGTGTGTACTGATAATACTAATGTGTACAAAGGAAAGCGATCTTACTCTTTCGAGGTAAAGGTGTTCCAGCGAGGTACCGATAAGTCACATTGATCGTTCCAGAAAAATTGGTCATATCTTTAAAGGTATGAACATATCGCTCTGAGTTCAGAGGCTGCATTGAGGTTTCTCGTAACTGACGTTTGTCTTCCTCCTGAAACACATGACATCCAACACAGACAATTCTAAAGTTTGTCACGAGCCTAAAGTAAGTCAACGTTTGTCACAGCATTCCTAAAGCTTGAAAGAGTCTCCAGAATATATGGACATGAAATGCTAAGACTCCTTTTGCATCTTTAAGTGTAAGCGCTGCAGGTCATTATTTTTAGATTTGGCAATATTCTTGCACACTCTTGTATAAACTCATTAAATGTAAATGATGGCCTTTGAATAATTAATTGTACACAATATTACTCACTCAACTTTTTAAATAAATTATCTTGTATTAAATGATGGCATCGTTGCTATACTTCAATGTCTTTTACCACACATGAACTGTTCGCACTTTTAAAAAAATTAGCTGGCTGTGACGGTGTTTGTATTTCAATTAAATGGGGGTTATTTAGAAAAGTGACTTAGTCAAAATGGGTACAACTTTTGAATAATTCAACAGACAAACACACGCGACATGTTATGATCACAAAGTTTTGATCATAAAGTTGGCCTCATGAATAATAAATGTGTCTCTTGCATTTGGACTGCCTCTACATCATGATATTTTAAATAGGCTGCAGCGTGAGCTCTGATAATTATAGATGCACAGCACCGGCAGTCTTACATGCAACATTTGGTAATTAAAGCATATAAACAAAATAACTTTTCAGCACAGCGATAATTAATGCTAAATCACATGCAACAACAGTAGTCAAGTTACAGTTATGTAGTACAGAAGAACATTTGTCTGTTTTAAAACATCATTTATAGATGAGCAAGATGATTCATATGCAGTGGTGTCTTGGAAAATGTTTGGTTTGATCCAGCCACTGTTTGTTGTATTTGTTTACACTTACTTCTTGTTGCATTGTATCACAATCCTGGTTTCCCGTCATTGAGCTTGGATCTTCCTCACTGTGTGCAGATCTCCTGGCAGTGCCAAAGCATCCGTATGCAGCCATGGAGAACTGGGGCCTGAGTGTGTTTGTGGAGCAGAAGATCTTGTTGGATCCTGACGTCTCCTCCTTCTCCTATCAGATGGAGCTCACCATGGTGGTGGTGCACGAGATCTGCCATCAGGTAAAACACATTTATTGGAGTAAGCATGTGAGCTTCTCTATAGTATAACAATGTTTTACGGTCAGAGTAAAACTACATCTTGCTGGTTTATACAGTATATACACAGGGAAACAAGATCAAATGTGTAAATAATAAATCATAATGGACTAATTTAACCAATCATATCAATAGATCAGTCAGGGACACTTTTTTGACATCTTTTCTGCATCTCCATTTGAGATGCGCAACTTGAATCAGCCCTCAAATAGGCCTTATTCCTTTTTGCACAATAATATTTTGATTATAGATCAGTTTTATTTACACAAATGTAGATTTGTTAAAGTTTGTGGCTTTAAAATATTTGAAAGTTTGATTTTAATCCTTAAATCAAATGAAATAATAATAATAATAATTATTATTATTATTTCATTTGATTTAAGGATTAAAATCAAACTTTCAAATATTTTAAAGCCACAAACTTTAACAAATCTACATTTGTGTAAATAAAACTGATCTATAATCAAAATATTATTGTGCAAAAAGGAATAAGGCCTATTTGAGGGCTGATTCAAGTTGCGCATCTCAAATGGAGATGCAGAAAAGATGTCAAAAAAGTGTCCCTGACTGATCTATTGATATGATTGGTTAAATTAGTCCATTATGATTTATTATTTACACATTTGATCTTGTTTCCCTGTGTATATACTGTATAAACCAGCAAGATGTAGTTTTACTCTGACCGTAAAACATTGTTATACTATAGAGAAGCTCACATGCTTACTCCAATAAATGTGTTTTACCTGATGGCAGATCTCGTGCACCACCACCATGGTGAGCTCCATCTGATAGGAGAAGGAAGAGACGTCAGGATCCAACAAGATCTTCTGCTCCACAAACACACTCAGGCCCCAGTTCTCCATGGCTGCATACGGATGCTTCGGCACTGCCAGGAGATCTGCACACAGTGAGGAAGATCCAAGCTCAATGACGGGAAACCAGGATTGTGATACAATGCAACAAGAAGTAAGTGTAAACAAATACAACAAACAGTGGCTGGATCAAACCAAACATTTTCCAAGACACCACTGCATATGAATCATCTATAAATTATGTAAATTATGTTTTAAACAGACAAATGTTCTTCTGTACTGCATAACTGTGCATCATAGAACAATCCCAGATATCCCAGATATCAATGTGGATTAGCCCTGAATCAAACGTATTTATCATCTAATTGCTATAATCAAAGATCATTGCATTTTAACCCAAAAAACAGACACAGCAAAGCAACAAGACACGCAGCTCCATAATCATATTTCCCTCCAAACATATTTTAAATAGCTCCTTTACTCAAGTCTGTGTATCAGTGGCACAGCAGACAGCGAATCAGCTGTTTTAAACGCCTCCACCTCCATGAGCCCATCTCAGGAACCATTCATATGCCAATGAGAACAGAAGCAGTTAAACCTCTGGTGCTGTTAAATCCACATCTTATAATCAGCCACAGAAGAAGAGGAACTGTTGGAAACTGTAACATGATTATCCGCCGAGCTGGTGTGTGTGTGTGTGTGTGTCTTATTTGCATGTTTCATGAATTGGGCTGAAAGCAGCTGCAGAGTTTTGGAAGAAAGCTACTATCGTCATGGCGCCTGATAAACCTACAGGGCTCTGTGAGAAAAAAAAGCTTCTTTAAAAGTGAACAGCAGTCAGATGCTACACCTGCCCACACTGCCAAAAGCACCAAAAGTTGGTTAAATGAACATGGTGTTGGTGTGCTTGACTGGCCAGCAAACTCACCAGACCTGAACCCCATAGAGAATCTATGGGGTATTATCAAGAGGAAAATGAGAAACAAGAGACCAAAAAATGCAGATGAGCTGAAGGCCACTGTCAAAGAAACCTGGGCTTCAATACCACCTCAGCAGTGCCACAAACTGATCACCTCCATGCCACGCCGAATTGAGACAGTAATTAAAGCAAAAGGAGCCCCAACCAAGTATTGAGTACATGTACAGTAAAAAATGTTTTTTTATTGGTCTTATAAAGTATTCTAATTTGTTGAGATAGTGAATTGGTGGGTTTTTGTTAAATGTGAGCCAAAATCATCACAATTAAAAGAACCAAAGACTTAAACTACTTCAGTCCGTGTGCATTGAATTTATTTAATACACGAATTTCACAATTTGAGTTGAATTACTGAAATAAATGAACTTTTCCACGACATTATAATTTATTGAGATGCACCTGTATGTAAAAATGCCCAAGGAACTGTTGGAAACTGTAAAATGATTATCTGGCGGGGTCGTGTATATGTGTGTGTGTGTGTGTGTGTGTGTGTGTGTGTGTGTGTGTGTGTCTTATTTGCATGTTTCATGAATTGTGTTGAAAGCAGCAGTAGAGTTTTGGAAGGAAGCTGCAATCGTCATGGCGACTGATAAAGCTGCAGGGCTGCACGACAGGAAAAAAAGCTGCGTTGAAAGTGAGCAGCAGTCAGACGCTTCACTGATAATGATGAGCTCCCATTAGGATTGTACGTTCACACATGATTAACATTTCACTTTTATTCAGAAATGATGGAGTGACGAGCTCATTCATGAGGCAAAGAACAATGAAAACAGCAAAGCAAAGGTGAATGACTGAAGAATAAATCAGAATCAGACAGTCCAGGTTTAATTGGCCATTTTTAACGTTCTTCATGGACAAGAGTCTTGATGCTTTTTTAATTGGGCTTTTATACAGACTCTCATACTGCAATTACACGACTGATGCTCTTGAAGACAGTGACAAAAGTACCATGGTACTTAGAGATGTACTTCAACTCAACCAACTTCTGTCACAAATTTCAAGATACAAAGCCAGACCAAAACTAACCACATCATATACCAGATCCAAAACAATAAGCAAGTATGATAATCATTTAGTAAATATCCATGTACTTTAAAAGTAGCCTACTTTTTGAGAGGGAAACAAAGA